ATTTCTTGTACAATTCATCTTTTCTCTGTTTTTCTATATTGAAGAAAGAAAGAAGAAAAATGAATTGTACAAGAAATTCAGCCAGAAAGAAACCTTATTATTATAACAGCCTTATAATAACACAATAACACATAAACGCTCCATCATTTAAAGCACAATGCAAAGTACAAAATTTTAGATCAGTGCCAAAAATTTTTAATTGTCCTTAAATCAAAATTAGATAACCTAATCTGCTCGTGACAAATATGAGTCTATCATTACGCGAAATTTTCCTCAGTTTCATTCACCAGTCTCCACGTGGCCTTTCAATCGAATAACACTACGAGCGAGAGAAAATAAGAGGGGAGAAATATAAGCGAGTTACGATCCGCGAGATCTCAAAAGATAAAGAATCACAAGGCAAGCATCCACCTGGCGAACGCCGAATATATGACCGCGCCGATGGAGATGAGTAGCAAGGTGATCGTATGCGGTTTGTAGAAGAACTCAAGGGAAATATCGTCGACCGGCCTTTCATTGATGCTCGGGAAGCTGTCGGTCCCGGCGCGAAGTCTCTGTTCCTCGGCATGATCAACGAGACTGTTGGCGGTGGTGGCCGCCTTGGCGTTCTCCTCTCGCAGTATTATCGTCATCCTTCGATGATGGTATCCTCTGCCTCAGCCACGTTCGACCACCATCGGCGAACAAACACACGCGTGATTCTCGCGCCGAAAGTGCCTACTCTCGCGCGAACACGCTTGCGACGAACTGGCCTGCCTGAAGTTGCGTGCGCACGGCGCGTCAACAACGCGACGGCGACCGCGCACAACTTCACGCCGGTGAGTGCGCGACTAGCCGCGGACGAGACGATACGTAGACGCGGAAGCGAGCGTGGGACTCGCACGCTAGAGCGAGGGTGACAATTGGCGGGAAGAAATTTTCTCTCTTTTGTGTGCGTGTGTTTTTGTGATGAGATAATTAGATACGTGTACATGTATGTGCATACATACATTCGTTCCTGCAGACACTTTTATATCTTACAATCGTGACGTTATTCAACATCGCAATAAGTCAATTAACGAACAATTGCCAATTGACCGTGTATGTACATATCAAATAATAGAAGCAACATTTTGCTGTGTGTAATTAATGTATATATATATATATATATGTGTGTGTGTGTGTGTGTGTGTGTGTGTGTGTGTGTGTGTGTGTGTGTGTGTGTGTATTATATAAAAATTTATATAAATACATGATAAATTATTAACACTTTGTAACATGACTTTATGCACATATGCATTTTTCATATGTGCCACAGCATGAGCGTAGGGGCGGGGGAACTTAGAAAGTTTAAACCCTCCGAAATTAAAAAAAGTTAAATTTAAAATTATAATTTACAAAACCTAATATTTTTTTCTCATTCAAAATCAGAAACGAGGAGATATTCTAAACTGTAAAATATCCCAAAAAAAACAATTCATTAACGCAAAAAATTGCTATTTATAAATTAATTGATGAAAAAATCTCCCCTAAAAAAAAATCTAGCTACACCATACTCTAGACCATTCAAAATATCTTGTTTTAAATGATATGAAAAAATTTAGGAAAAATTTAAGAGAATATTATAGAAAAAGATTGTGCAATTTGAAGAGGCGAATTACAATTAATATTTCTTATTGTTAATTCAAGGTAATATTTTTTAGACTTTAATTGAAATTTAAATAAAATCCAATTCATAATTTTTTACGTACATATTTGTACGTACGTATTAATCAATGCAATTTTTCCTTTTTATAAATATTTTTAAAGTTAGGCTTAAAAATTGTTCGTGTATATATATATATATATATATATATATATATATATATATATATAATTATTATTATTATATA